TGACTGAATGTTTGTGTCTGCACCACTACCCACCCCTCAAATTCATATGTTGAAACCCAACTCAGACAGAAAGCCACTGCAGGGCTGTCCTGCCAAACCATAGGGGTGACACTGCCACCCCTGTGGGCCTAGAAGGCAAAACATTGAGCCAAAGAAGGTCATTCTCCAGCTTAAGATCTAATGGAATTTACCCCATTAGGTTTTGGACTTCTTAAAATCTGTTACACCTTTCTTTTTTCTATTTCTTCCTTTTGGAACGAGAATGCTGCCCTATGCCTGTCCCGCTATATTTTGGAAGCACAGGACATACTTGTTTTCACAGGTTCACAGCTAGAGATGAATTTGCCTCACATGAATTGTACTTCGAGTCCCATGTATATCTGATTTAGATGATATTTCAATGAGATTCTCGACATTAAGTTGATGCTGGACTGAGTTAAGAGTTCAGGGGATACTGAAATGGGATGAATGATTTTGCATAAGACAAGGACATGAATTGGAGGGACCGGGAGTGAAATGCTTTAGACTGAATATCTGTGCCCCCCACCAAGATTCGTACGTTGAAGCCTAATTCCCAATGTGGTGGTATTACGAAGTAGGGCTTTTGAGAAAGTGATTAAGTCATGAAGGTGGAGTCCTCATGAATGGGATTAGTGCCCTTATAAAAAAGACCCCAGAGAGCTCCCTCACCGCTTTGCCATCTGGGAATACAGCGAGAAAACTGCCATCCATGAACTAGAAAATAAGTTCTGCCCAGACACTGAACCTGCCAGTGCCTTCATCTTGGACTTCCCAGCCTCCAGAACCGTGAGAAATAAATGTGTGTTGCTGATAAGCCATCCAGTCTATGGTGTTCTGTGACAGAGCCCGAACTAATTAAGACAGACTTTCATTTGCTAAATGGGCACGATGAAACTGCAACACTGTAAAATGTTCCCCAAACTTTTTTGACATAAATTTTTCCCCTCAGATCACCCTGTGATATATTAGGTTTCCAGGAGAAATGTTTCGGAACACCCTGAATCTTAAAATTGTTAGGCATTTTTATTATTATTCTACAATTACATAAACGGATCATTAAGTTGGCATTACCTGAAGCAGAACCAATGAAGCAAAATTAGATCCCAAATCATATTAAACATTACAGCTGGCTTAGATTAATGAGTAAAGCTTTTCTCTAACCTGGATAAATTTTTTTTAATACCCTATTGTAGAATTCCATGATCACCAAGAAATTCACTGCAACCTTTTGATAACTAAACGATTCATCATGGTTAAGAAATGCTTGTGAGGAAGCTCCCACTTTTTTGTCACTTATATAGGAAAATAAATTAGCACTGTACACTATAATAATGTGTCCAATAAAGTTCTAACTCATAAAGAAATTCAGGGTTTAAGGAAGCTTAACTCGTTGCTATATCCTTATGGTGTTTCAAATGGGAAATAAAATTGACTGTTGAAGGGAGTGAATATCTTCTAAATTTTAAATATTTTGGAGCATCTGCTATGCACAAGGCTCTCTGCTAAATGCAGTAGCTTACTCCAGTGAATACCTGTTTGGCCCAGAGGCTGGTCCCTTTCTGTGCCTCCCTTCTAACTTGATGTTAGGGCAGTTACATAGTTCAATGGCGGCACCTGTTTCAATGGGTCCATTACTGCCACCAAATACACATGACCCAAGATCACAAAGCTTTGTGTGCTTTAACCTGTTCCCACACAGAACCCCTCTACTTAAGGAGAAAAATCAGGCTGCAGAGGAATACCAGAAAAAGATTGTAACATTCACATATTGATAATTTTGTAACAAGATACATATTTTACTGAGGAAATTCAATATGAGGCCAAGAGTCTTTGGATATTTGTTCACATCTAAATGAACATCTGGATTGTTTTTTCTCTTCACCCAAATATTGTGCCATTGTGTGGCCAAAGACTGTAGAAAAATCCTTGGGAATCTGGACTCTGAATATTTTGACTCAGATCCAGTAGACAATTAAATGAATGACAACTGCAAGAAATAAGGATGCAGTTCTTCATTGAAAGCTAGTTTTAATCAACAACTGACTAAAGATGATATTTCATGGGATCATGTGTTCTAATCTTCTGAGAGCTTAGTATCTATTTATACTCTTATATTTGTGATAATTGTCTCTAACTCTCAATAGGTTTCCTAATTAATATTTATATTCTCTCCTATGCCTTAGTACAGATTCAATTTTTCAGTCACCTTTACTGAGGTATAATTAACTTGTAATAAAATACTCATATTTTAAATGTACAGTTCAGTGAGTTTTGACAAGTGTACTCTTCCATACAGCCACCAACTCCATCAACATATAGGTTTCCATCACTCCAGAAAATTCATTTATGCTCCTTTCCAATTAATCTCCCCCTACCTCTTACCCCAGGCAACCACAGATCTGATTTTAATAACTATAGGTTAGTTTTGCCTATTTTAGTACTTCATATAAATGGAATCATCCTATAAATTTATTTTGCCCCATATGCCACCTCTGTGATTAGAATGAGAATTTTTCATGACATGGAAGCTGTTGAATATGGGCAAATTTGATCATTCTTTCCTTTGGATTTGTTTCTAAGAATCTAGTCCATTTGCTGCAAATGCCTTACTAAGAGAACATCAGAGCATCGTCCAACAAATTTGGCATGTTGCCAAAAGTTATATATAGGTTATAAATCACCTAGAGATTTTTCTCTCTCCCTTCCTCTCCAAAATTTGATCAAAATTTCCACTTCTCAACCAGAAGAGATACTTAACAGTAAGCATTTGCAATCTGTCTAAATATGTAAAGTGCTGTGTTTTTTATTATAATTTTAATAGGTTGTTTAGTCTGACTTACCCCGAAAAGCCCATGAAAACCCTCATACCATTCCCCTGTCTTTATAATAGTCCTTTATTTAAACTTGAAACTTTTCCCCTTTGACTCATCTTATCAGCCTATTTTTCTCACTTGTTTTTTTACCTTTTTCAGTTATACCAGTGGAAACTTAGTAAAGTGTTTCCCTTAAGACAGAGGATTCTTCTAAAACACACTCACCATCAATTCTGATACACATCTCGGCAATTTGCCTACACATACAAATAAGGAGCAAGTTGTGTTTGAAGAAGAAAAGGGAGGTGGGGCGACAGAAAGAAAAAGATGCTTATTGCAATGTGGATAGAATCTCCCAGGCCTGAACTGTTTTAGAACTAGGGGGAAAAAGACACAAACAGCAATGTAAACACGGCTGTCAACAGTACCATCCAAAATCGTTTCCATATGGCCAATGTGTGTCAACAAAGCAATCCCTGTTGAAGCAACACAACATAAAATTACAGAAGGATGCTGCCAACATCTCGCAGAATGCAATTGGCCTCCACAATTCAGGAAACAAAGAGACTCCCTGAGCACATGAAAGAAGGGATAAGAGCTCTGCCCCTTATGATCTGCCTGGGAGCTGGAAGAGGCAGGAACATGAAACTACTGGGTGGCAGTCTGAATTTCAGAGACTAGAAGAATGTCAGGAAAGGCAAATGACAATAGTCATTGTGGTAAAAATTGCCATATATTAGAATATATTAATCATATTCTAAGCATCAGATAGGCAGCAGTCCAGACACAGAAATATTCGTATAAAATTAGTGGTTCCACAAAGTCAGGCTCAGAAGAATGAATTAACTTTCCCATGATCGCCTGGCTGATAGATGGCTAAATTGCGATTCAACTTGCATCATCCCTTCTTTCAAACCAGTTACCACTTGTGAATGTTTATCATCCACCAAGCTCAGTACCAGGCACTTTATATACAAAACCATTTGCTGCTCACAATAGCAGCTTTATTATCATTATTTCACATGGGAGGAAATGGAAGCTTGAAGAGGTGAAGTAATGTTTGTGAAACTACTGACAAATGGCAGAATAAGGGTCCAAAACCAGGTCTATACGGCTACAATGCCTGAGTTCTTTCAGAAAAGTATGATGTCAGAAACAGAGTCACAGATGTAGAAAACAAACTTATGGTTACCAGTGGGTAAGGGGCGGGGGGGGGGGAGGGATAAACTGGAAGATTGGGACTGACATATACACACTACTATATATAAAATAGATAACTAATAAAGACCTACTGTATAACACAGGGAACTCTACTCAATACTCTGTAATGGCCTATATGGGAAAAGAATCTAATTAAAAAATCTAAAAGAGTTAATATATGTATATGCATAACTGATTCACTTGGCGATACACGTGAAACTAACACAACATTGTAAATCAACTATACTCCAATAAAAAAAAAAATTTTTTTAACTATTATGTCTCCCACATGGCTTATAGCCAGCCCTCTTTTCCTGAAGAACTTGGGAATTTGTTAACACATAGAAAGGGGGTCCACTCTTAAAATGGAGGGTAAATGATTATTTTCCAATCTTCACTTGCATCATACTATGAATCTAGAGATGAATTTACTCTGCAAGTTTGTGACTACATGATTTATGCTCTACAAAGAAGGGAAAACGTTAGAGAGCCGTTGAGAAAGTTCTCTAACCTAGATGACAAATATCTGTTGCTATGTATAAAAAAGAGGGAAGTAGATAGATATAATAACAATATTTTTCTCAGGTTTTGTTCTTACACAACAGAAGATACTCTCCAATCATAAACATAGTTAAGAAGATAAAATTCTTCTTTTTCAAAATATAGGTGTTTGAATTCAGAGTCATCAACTGTGACATTCAAAGGAGAAATAGTGAACATGATTATCTATTTTTAAATACTGGAGTACAGATTATTTTGCTAATGTAAAATATTTATAAAAACAATCAGCAACAAGTACTTTATGAAATGCTGAACTGGATTCAGAAAATACTGTAATTACATGTAGAATTTCAAAGGCCCTTAACTAATACGAAAAGTAACTCGAGAAGTAAAATTTGAGCCTAATACTCTAAATCTAAGCCCCTTGATGACATTGCTTTCACCAAAATAAAATGTTAAACATACATACGCTTTCCTCAACAATATCCACTCTGAAGTGAGCTATGGAAAGACAGCAACTGAACGAGCTGAGAATTTGCAGTCGTGCTGCACTTCTCTGCACATGTTCAGAATCGCGGTCCTTAGCAGAGTCCATGTTCCCGTGTGATTTTCAGTAAGCCACCTTAGCTCAAGTTATCAGAAACAGATGACAAATGGCTAAAAATATTTCTAAATAATGCTAAACCAGCAACAGCCCAGCTGAAGACCAGCTGACTCATCAAGTTTGGTAAATCCTGCCGAGAAATGCTAAAATAGTCTAACCTTTGGATCAACCGTGTCGTAATGCTGCTTCATCAGAACTAAGGCTCTTGCTCCACATAGGAGGACAGAAGGACAACTCTCAGTCCTGGAGAAGCTGAAGGACGTAACATTCATGTGGAACAGACTGGCCTCCAGGCACTGGGGAGGATAGAATGGGATGGTTACTTTTCAGTTTCGAATCTTAATTTTTTTTTTTTTTTAACTCAGAATCTCATGCACGTCTTCTGAAATTTTTGGCCCTGTTGTAAAAGCATGATCCCTGGAATGAGCTCATCCCGGTCACTCCACAAATTAGAGCTCGAAGAGAAGACTGGAACAGGGCCTTCTTTTATCATTTTATCATCACGTACTGAGAGATGGGAAGACAGAGCTGATCACAGACAGACAACAAAAAAGGACTGGAAGCTCTCAGACCAGACTCATTTTTGGACCAACTGAACAGGCAGAACAGGAGAACTGTGTCCAAAGAAGCAAAGTGAAGGGACAACTCCAGTGAAAATGGGGGAGGGAGGGAGGGAAAGGGAGAGAGGCAACTCCACCCCATAATAATTTTCCCCAGTTGACAAGCCAGATTCCACATGATACGCTAGCATTTTGCAGAACAAGGTCTCCACTTGCTGCTACTAATAATGATACCTGCAGTACAGAAGCACAGAATCCTCTACCTTATCAAACCACAAATCTGAAGCAGTCATAAAAAATGCTGAGCTAATAATATTTATTCTGGGTATTTCCAGAAGTACTCTCTTGTGAAGGCAGACACAACTTTACAAGAAACACTGCTTATACAAAAAGTTAAACCAGCCGCAAAGACTTCATTTTTAAATACGTCTTTAATCTTATCTAAACCGATCTCTGGCCATTCTGAGATTTGCACATTATTAATTTAGTTTGGGTCAGGTCTAATGCTCTCTGAAAGATTTTCTTTCGGACCTTATGCAAAGAATATTATCAATACTCTTAATTAAGTCTTAATATTTTCTATATTATCAATACTAAATATTATCATCTTACATTCTCCCAATTTTTAAATGATTAAATAATTCCAGTTTTATGCATTGATTTTACTGTGGATACTGTTATTTTCTCTTTCAACAGTCAGACTTTACTTTGTCCCACATAGCTGTTGCCAAACTTAACTGTTTTTCCTATTCTGCAACTAAAATGTTCAATTTTTTGAAATAAGTACGATATTAGGTCCTGCGCATTCTCTCCATGTAAGACTAAATCTCCTTTTGAACAAAGTGTTCTCCTATAAAATAAAATAAAATCTCACCTAAAAGATTTGTTTTACATCCAGATCACTCTTGGGTTGTATTGAGGCTTGGGCAATGCTCTTCCTTTAGATGACAATCTCAGACTCATGTGAAACTAAAGATTCTTAAATTCAGAAATAGCAATTACTCTTGATTCTGTCTTATGTTGTAATGTACAATAAAGACCTCAAAGGCAGGAACTTTTAACATATTAGTCAATAGAAATATTCTTCTGTCTAGAACGAGAAATTGGGAAACAAAATTTCCCATTTATCCATTTGGACACCTCAAATTCAGCAGATACTGGAAAATAAACAGAAATTTACAAAACCATACGCTAGTATGCCTCAATATGCCATAATCAATAGCAGTATCTAAGAAATTGAAGAAACAAAATGCTTTCTTGTTTGATCTGCATGACACAGGGGTGGCAGCACGGCAAAGTGGACTATGCGGATGGGTCACGGTCTCTATGCTAAGAGGTCATGTCTGAAGCTTGGCTCTGCTGTTTGTTTGCTGTGTGACCTCAGGGAAGTTACTTAACCTCTCTGAGGATCAACTTCTTCATCTATAAACTGAGGGGTAGTTAGTCCCACTTTATGGGTTCATGGCGAGGGACACGGTAGGTATCAGGTAAATGTGCTTTCTCTTTCCTTCCACGAGAGCCTAATGTATTTACCATGAGCTCAAATGCACTGAAAAGAACGATGGACTGAAAACCTCATGTGTTACCACCCTTCCTCCTCCTCCCCTCAGCTCCTGCCACCTTGCTGTTCTTTCCCGCAGCTTTAGGCTGGTTCTTCCTCTTCCATTTCCCCCAGACATCCCCAGACACAGCACCTCTTACAGGCCTTGGCTAAAATGGCACCATCTCAGACAGATCCACCCTCTGCGAAACTTAAGCCCCACCCTGATCCCCCCCACCACACACCCTTGATCACTATCTCTAACTCTGTGGTTTTTTCCATACCACTGACCACATTCTAAGTTACTTCTCTTTTCTTTCTTTCTCTCTTTCTTTTTTTCTTCCTACTCTTTATTGTCAGAACACAATAAGTTACACTAATATAAGTGCTGTAAGGGCAGAGGTACTTGTCTCTTTTGTTTGTTGATGAATCCCAGGGGCCTCGGATAGCACATTATAGGGGTTCAATAAACACTTTCTCTTATTTTGCATTTTATAAGATTGTATAAAGCGGTAAAAGACAAAGATAAAACTAGATCTCTCACATTAACTGCCCTATCTGTGAATATTTTTAAAGTTCACTTAAACTTTTTAAAGTTTCTGCAATACATTTAGATTCACCGAGAAGTTACAAAAAGAGTACAGAAAGCTCGCGCACACTCTTCACCCAGCTTCCCCTGATGATAACATCTTCCAAAACCATGGTAAATTTGTCAAAACTAAGAAAGTCACGTTCAATCCATGCTTTTTTAAACAAATGAATTGTTATAAAGCACCAACACATCTACGAAGTTTATGGTCATATATTCACATCATTAACTCAGAATAGACAGTGACAAGAACAGAATGTGCTATTTTTATTTCACTTCCTCTCTGTTTTCTTTCATATTTTGTCATCTTGGAAATCCTTTCCATGTGATTAACATGTGTATTTAAGGGCTTAGGTTGGTAGATCTGCAAACGACTTTCCCACCAGGAATATCTAGAAGACCTGTGAAAATCTCTGATAGGAAAGCCTTCAAAACTCTTGTAAAAATATCCTGTGATTGTCTACTAAATCACCAGCTGAAAAGAAAAGCTCTTTCATTTCTAAAATAGGATAAAGCCCACAGAGAAAAGTATAACATTATTCTTAGTGAGGAGCTTGTTTCGTCTCTAACATGTAAATATTTACGCAGTGCCCTAGGAAATGACTCTAGAATGCCAAGGTGTTGACAAATTGCTAAGGACTGTGCTAAACATCCTCATTAGCTTAGGCTTAGATAAAGTAACTCACAAAGCACCCCCCATGCTTAACAGTTTGTCGGCAGGGGATCTGTGTACACCAGCTATTACTTTTCCCAGTCCGTAGCAAAAGCAGCTGGGAAGAGGCAAATGCATGATGGCACTCGATCTATGACGACATTAAGCTTGATGGGGTAGCTGGGACTTCTGTAACTGCAAGACATTCGGCATTTGCCGGAGCTGAGACTTCTCTTCTGTGAACCTTTAAGAACGTTGCTAACCATGCTTGGTTCTGGTCCACCCTACCACTGTCCCTCTACTCAATTCTCCACCTTGTCTTGTTGTTCAGTTCACCTCTTTTCATTTGTTAATTCAACAAACATTTAGGCACCATCTGCCAAAGAGATTTATACATGTTACTTCATTTCCACCACGACCCTAGGACACATTACTATTTCATTTAATAAATGAAAACAGGGAAGTTCAAAGATCTTAAGGAACTTGCCCACATAAGTATCTGCCAGCTAGAGGCACAGTCAGTATTTAAACGCAGACCCGTGTGACTCCGAGCTCGCTATCCTTTCCTTCTACTATGTTCCGCTACATTCCAAGAAAAATAAAAATTGAAAGGAGTTTGTTTCTTTTCAAATTATTTCATGAAATCAAGTAAACTTAATAAATTGATGTTAATTGGACAAGAGTATCTTATAATTGAAATTAAGCCTGATTAATGGATTCTTGACATCGTGACTTTGTCATGACGCCACAAGATGTCAGGGCAGCAGGGGGAGAGCTAAAGAGAGACATTTGCCTTTTCCTCAGTGGAAGATGGAGAAAGGGGGACCTGAATTTGAATTTCTACCTTACAAAGAAGTTCTGTGTACCCGAGCTGAATAGGAAACCTCATTCCCATCCCCACCCTGGCTCTCCCATCTCAGAGCCTTTGCTCATGAGCTGCCTCTGTCCTTACATCCTCCCCATACCCTGGGCTTTGATTTGTGCTCCTCTGATCTCTCAGACTGTGTTCTTCCATGATGGCATCTACCATGATGCCTGCGTGCTCAGTAAATGTTTCATTGAAAGACCAAGCTTCCCAAGGTGGATGTCCTAAGAACTGGTCGCATAAACCACACATGGTCCACATTTGATAGAGCAGGGATGGTCAAGGCGAGGCTGGGGAGGAAGTGTTGGGACAGAAGGTAGCACCGATTGAAAAGAAAGAAGCATTTTCCTACTTTCTGGAATTATTTTTAAACGTAGGAATTATTTATCCTGAATTACAAATATCATAAAAGGAGGTCATGAAATGTATACTTGCTTTATCGAACTAGGGCATGGAAATTATTTCACTCCTCTGTGCCTGTTTTTTCATCTGTAAAATGAATAACAGGAAAAATAATCCTACCTGTAAGGACTGAATAAGATCATCCATTAACACATGTAGGACACTATCTGGTACACAGTAATCACTCAAAGGAAGTAGTTCTTATCATTGTTATTATTGCTATTTTCTAAATTTTTGCTACCTCTGGGCCTGTTTCTCACCTGTATGTAATGAGCACAACCGTTAATATTCTTTTTAGATATTAACTTCTAAGATTTTAAGCCTCTCAATATTCATATATTTCAAGTTAATCCAATATTATATAAAAATTTTAGGCCCCTAATGTTTTCTTTCACTATAGCG